TCGAAGATTCATAAACTACCCGAAAATAAGCAACACTATAACAAAAATATGTTGCTTATTTTCAGAAGAATACGGTACTTTATATTTTTGTTATTTTACATATAATTATTTTACTTATATTTTATCTTACTAAATTAGTTAATTTATAGCATAGTAATTAGTTAGCTGTAATAAAAGAAATTTTGTATAAATAGATAGACTTTTTACTTATATTGTAAATTAACTCTTTTGCAAATCGAAGTAATTCTTTTGCAGATTTGTAAACTCTTTTACGGATTAACAATTGAGTTTCAATATTAATAAAGGAATTATTTAAAACTTATATCTTTCTGCCTCTTTGTGTCTTCATATAGTCTGACGTGATCCTTACACATTATTTGTAATTGAATTCATCATCTGAATTCTTTAATTAAATTGTTCACAATCTCATTTTTTAAGTCTTCATACTTGATAGATTTGTTTAAGTTCAACGCGTAAATTTGATAAAATTAAAAGTTAGGTAGATCCTAACGTCTTAACCACAGTAGACCATAGCTAGAAATTTCAAGTAGAGACTTGATAACGTGACTATTCCAAGTTGAAGAATTCTACAGTAACAATATATATATATTTATTTTATAATTTTTATTGCAAAATATTTACATAGTTCATTATTTATATAATTATATATTTTGAAATAAAATAATTTTATATGATTATAAAGTTATAATAAATTAAATTTGAAATCTATTAATATAAAAAATATATTAATAATTTTATATTAATATAATAAAATTTTTTTAATAATTTTATTAATTTAACATAATAAAAAAAAATGTATTTATAAGAAAAGAGAATTATAAAAGCTGATTATATAAAAATTAATTATATTAAAATTATATATTATTAATTAATGATATTATTTAAATATTAAAGTTTAATAAAATTAATTTTTGAAAAAAAATAAAATCATATATAATAAAATTATTATAACTTAGTTAAACTTTAAAACTTAAATCAGTTAAAGTAATAAAATATAGTTAATAAATATCTAAGTTTATATAGAATATATGTATCTGGATTATGTGACAGATATATTTGTCACTAGTTTTATATTCTTTACTTTTGTTTTTACTATTTATTTCAAAAACTTAAAAATTTTTGATAAAAAATTATTATTTGTTATACCTTATTTGTTATATGGTTAAATTCTTATTTTCTTAATTCTAGTAAAAATAATGTTAATGTTGACTGTATTATGTGATACATATACAAATTTCTATATATAAATAGAAATTACCTATTATATTTATAAAAAATAAATTAAAAATTTTATATATATAAATATTTTATATTTAAAATTACTTATTTTAGATTTGATAAAATGTTTTAATTTTTAATTTTACTAATTTTTTACTAAGTTTTAATATAGTTTTACTATTTTATAAGTTTTAATGTATAATTTTATCTTTTTATTAAATTTCATAGATTATTTAATAAGGTTTTAATATAATTTTGCTAAATTTTTTATCTTTTATCATTTAAATGATTTGTAAAACTCTAGATTTTATTTAGCAATCTTATTTGTAATAAAAAAAGAACTACTAAAGAAAATTTTTTTTAAATTAATATTAAATCTAAATTTATTTTATTAAAAATTAATATTTAACTTATAAAGTAATAAAAATTTTTTATAATTTTCTTTTTTTTTACTATTAATTTTATAATCATCAAATAAATTATAAATTATTATATAAAATTTTATATTATAATTAATTAAAGATCATGCTTGCTTAAATATTTTTACTATTTAAAAAATAAATTTAATTAAAAAAAGAATTATAAAATTTGTTTATTAAATAATAATAATATTTTTTTTTTTTAAAAAAAAAAAATTAATTTCAATATAAAAAAGAAAAAGATTCTATATATTATTATAATCTATATTTTTAAAAATAAAAAAAAATTAACTTTTAAATAATTTTTTTTAGTTTATAATAAATTATTAAATTTTAATTCTTATAACTATTTTCTTTTACCCAGAGTTTATGAAAACCTAGAATAATTGATTATAAAAATTACTAAGAATAAAATCGTAAAAATTTGCTAATGATAATAAAAGTTACTTACTTAAAATTCCTGCTATAAAGCCTGAAACAGCCTGTACACCATCAGAAAATGTATACCCAAATAAATCATATCCTAAAAAAAAAAATTATATTAATGCTCTTTAATCAATAAGATCAAATAAACACACATTATACTTACCACAAAAACAAAAATCCATAATAAATTTAACTAAACTAATATACAACCAATATTTTCTATCTTTTAATTTTTCTAATTCATTTTCAGATAATTTTTCTTTTGATTTTTTAGTTTTCTCATTTAATGACCAAATTCTAAATATAAGTTCATGAATATCCAAGATAATATTTACAAACCATAATTTAAGGGCAATAGGTTCTGATCTTTTAGCTACCGATTTATCTAAAATACCAACTTTACCAAGACAATATAAATCATCAAAAATATCATTAAAAAAGCCAACAATCGAATTAATAAATCCCAAAGTATTAACAGCATGTTCATAAGGAAGTGCGGTGTGTGGTAAATTACGAGCGCCTGCTACGTACTCTTTAAAATCTGCGTATGGTTCAAGAAAATGTGCTAATCGGATTATTTTACGAGTATTAGAAAATTGAGATGTCATGGCAATTAAACGAGAATAAAGTTTAGGATATTTTGTCTTCTTTTTATTAATATGAAGCCAAAGAATAATTTTTCCAAAATACTGAATAATCTTTAAGAATTTATCGCGACCATCGGAGTGAACTAATAATCTCCGAAGAATATCTACATTTGGTTTTGGAATAGGACGACGGGTTATTGATGGAATCTTATTGTTTGTAGAAGGTTTAAATACGGTTGTAATTGCAGTTATGGACGAATCCGTAAGTAAAGCAGGTGGTGTTGAAGTTGTGTTATACATGGTTACAATGTGCAATGAAAGAGAGTTTAAATGAGAAATTTAAAATCAAAAAGAAAGAATAGCATAATAAAAAAAAAAATGCAATTCGTTCATGTACTTTTTACATTGATCATTGTGTCCATTGTGTGTAACTAATATTAATTAATTCAAACTTTTTTAAAAATTTTAAATTTCAAATACATATTTTCTTTCTATTTCTTTTTAATTTTAACCTGACTTTCCTTAACCAGATTAATTGTACCATTTCTTTCTCATACATTATCATGCAACAGCCCAAAACACAACCACCTACGTCAGTGCTTAGATCTTGTGCTAATATTTCATTAGGGATCTTTCATTTTCCATTCCTTATAATGACAAAAATCACTCAAAAACTTTTAAGCCCTGTTAAACGTAATCAAAGACGTATTCAAAATCGTTCTCCGACTTTTGTTTTTAAAATAATATGGACGCTTGCATTATTAATAGGAGAAATTATTATTTTTTCGTATTCAATGCGAAAATGTTCTTGGCCAGAACATAAGAATTGGGTAGATTTCAAAATAATTATTTAATTGAAATACGATATCTTTATTTTATTATTTTTAATTGTAAAATTTAATTATAGAACACCACAGCAACAAGGCCTATTCATGTTGCAATAATCGCTGACCCACAAATAATTGATGATTATTCTTATGGCCGAACCGGTATACTTCAGAGAATTTCTGAAATATATCCTGATATGTATATGAGAAAGAATTGGATAAATTTACAAAATATATTTGATCCTGACGCAATAATATTTCTTGGTGATTTATTGGATGGAGGAAGAGAATGGGATGATAGGAAGTAAGTTAAATTAAATTTCAATTAAAAGTTGTTATTTTATTAATTTTTTTTTTTTTATTTAATTAGATGGGATAAAGAACTTCATCGATTTCAGGACATCTTTTTACCAGAAAAACCATTAAAGACTTCAATTTTTTATTTAGCGGGGAATCATGATATTGGTTTCGGAGATCATGTAATTCCAGAAGCGTTTTACAGATTTCGAAAAGAATTTGGACCATTAAGTTATATGACAAATATTGGTAATCATTCATTTATAGCTTTAGATACAATAACTTTGAGTGGTTCTAACGAAACTTTGAAAAAGGATGCGAAAGAATTAATACAGAGGCTCGAGAATGGTGAAATTTATGTATTAAATATTTAATATTTTTTTTTTTTTTTGAAATTACTTGTTAATTTTACTTTTTTATTTTTTTAGATACAACGAATTCCCTTCCTCGCATATTATTAACACATGTTCCTTTGTATCGTCCGCCGAATACTGATTGTGGAACACTTCGACAACAAAGTCGGTATATTAAACAAGGTGCTGGCTACCAATATCAGAATTTAATAGTAGAATCGTTAACAAATTATATTTTAAATAATATAAAGCCAATGTTAATATTTAGTGGAGATGATCATGATTATTGTGAAATTCTACACGATGAATTAGATGGAATTCCTGAAATTACAGTTAACAGCTTCAGTTTTGCAATGGTAAATATATCGTGATACCTTTTTTTAATTTCTAAATGATATTAACAATGTTAATAATTATAGGGAATTAGCAGACCGGGTTTTTTGCTTTTAAGTCTTTATAATCCTTTAAATAATAATAGTTCAACAGAAACCAACTTTACAACATTTGCTTATTCTCAATGCTTACTACCGAATCAAATTCGAATATATATTTGGTATATAATATTAATAATTGCAACAATATTTTGTATTTTTTCGCACACATTTATTAAACTAAAAAGAAATGCTGAAATATTACCTATATGGAAAAGATATAATCAGAAAAGAAAATGGATGATATTTACTTCACGATACTGGAAGACGATAGGCAAAGAAATTGGTGATATTGCTTTAATTGCGCTTATAATTTACTTAGTTTGTTGGATATGGTTTTTACTTTAAAAAGAATTTATCTAAATTATATAATAGTTTAATTTTCAATTTAATAAATAATTTCAGAAAAATGTTGCTAAGGTTTTTAATAATTTCATTAGAATATTATAATTAATGTATATACAAGCATATTATCTATACATATATATCTTAAAAAATTCATTTTTCATAAGAAATCTCAAACTCCTGAATTAATAATAATACTACATGAATAATACATTGAATCATATCTTTTGTAATAAGCAACTAGATAATGGGCGTACTGTGGGTATTAAATTTAGGGAAGAGAGGAGAGAGGTCAGGTCGCGAATAAACCGAATGAAAGAGTGCGTGAATGATAGATTTGAAATCAATTCAAATGAAAGAAAGATTAGGCGACGAAAAAAAAATTTGTACTATAATAGAAGATAAATATCAAATCGGAAGCCAATTTATCTTATAATTATAAAAATTTGGGGCAAGTATCTTTTGAAAATCAAAAACATGTAAAACCAACTGAAGAATTTGAAAACAAAGATGCAAAACTTAATAATATGATGTTACTGTTCATCATTCTACAACAGAAAAGTTGGAAAAATAAATTCGTTGAATAAATGGTTGAAAAGCAGTCATGACGAAATTTAAGAATCCGTTCAACATTTTCGATAAAATTGTTGAAGAAATAATGATAGTGTAAGAGGTGTTCATTGAAAAGCTCGTAATTAGGGTTACATGAAATAATTCAAAGCGAAAAATTAGAAAAAGAAATCATTGAATATTAAATATTTCCAAAATATCGATTTGATTCAAGAAACCGATGGTTCTATTAGTAAATATATATTTGATCAAATTGATGCATCTAATAATTTAAATCTCCAATTCGGACTTGCTGAATTAAAAATTATCGTCAGATCTTCTCCGTAACAAATAACCATGTAAAACTTTATTGCCTTGTTAATGGAGACTAAGGATGTGATGGAAAGTAAACGTTCCATTACGTCGTACTTGTAAACAACACGGAGACGGGTGTACAGAAATTGACATTTCCTAATAAGAAAATTAGAAATGTCTTTACTGATAAGATCATATTATTGTCGAACTACTCCCCGGTAAGTATTAGACTCCGTTCGAATATTACCGTTCAATAATTAATATAGTGTGACAATGCCTTTTATTCTCAAAAGATGTTCACTTCAAAAAATTGCGCAGTTGAGGTCTGCATCATTCAATGCAATGCATAAAAAGATTACCCCGAATTTACCTGTTGCAAAAAAAGAAAATGTTAGTACATCAGATTTTTTATTTAGTGATAAAGGAAGGAACATATCCGATTTCTCCTCGAAATCAGCAGACCTTTACCAACAACAAAGTTAGGGTGCCTGAATAGATGTTAACTCAGTAATTCTCCTAAGTTAATTGCCATGTTGCTCTTCTACTTAGGAGTTACCCTCCTTTTTGCAAAACAAAAAAAAAACGCATCTTTGCACTTAAATCCTGCTCCTGCTTTCTTGCTTCACTTATAAAATTTGTGGTCCAAGCATTGTCATGTGACATTGATGTTCTGAATTTACCTGTTGCAAAAAGAAAATGTTAGTACATCAGATTTTTTTATTTAGTGATAAAGAAAGAAACATATTTAATTTCTTTTTAAAATCAGCAGACCTTTATCAATAACAAAGTTATAATGCTTGAAAAGATATCAACCCAGTAATTCTTCTAAGTTAATGAATATATTATTCTTCAACTTAAGAGTTATCCTTCCTTTGTAAAACAAAAAAACATACCTTTATACTTAAATCCTGCTAATCTTATGTCTGTTTTCTTGCTTTACTAAAACTAAACTAATAAAATAATTTTATATGTAATAGCATTTTTTATAATATAATGTAAATATTCTCTATCTTATAAAATTTGTGAATCAAGTATTGTTAAGATCTAGCTAATTTAAAGAGGATGTTATTGATGATATTAACCATTTATAATACTTTATCTATAAGATAATAGAAAGTCATAATATAAATTATTTTTATGATTTTTTATATAGAAAATAGCTTTAGTAAATTCATATTATTCTGATATCTTGATTTTGTAATAAGAAAGGAAAAGATTTTTTTTGAAATATAGATTTGTTTCTAAAAATTATAGCTTAATAAGTTTTGAGAAGTTTAATAAAAAATATTTATACTATATGTAAAGATTAATCAAGACACGTTTTTAAACTTTTAATATAAGAGTATATTTATAACTATATCAAATTTTTTAGTTTTATCACTTTTTAATTTTTGGAAATATCTAATAACTGATATATAAAGATGAAAAATTAACAGTTAATTAAGATTTGGTTAATTAAACAGTTAATTAATTCTTAATTAATATTAAATATTTTTTATATTATTATACTATTCTAAATATAATTTTATAAAAATTATAAAAATGTTTTCTTTTATTTTATTTGTCAACTAAAAATATCTTTTGATTAATTAACATACATTTCTATTGATATGATTATTAAATAAAATGCATAAACTCATAAATAAATATTTGACAATTTTTCTAAAAAATTTTTAATTTCTATTTTTTCTGAAGTGAATATCTTTAAACAAAGAAAAGTTTCTTGATCATTCTAGTAATCAATGTATTCTTATTTTAAAAATTGTTAATTTTATATTAATTAATTTTTATGTTTAGAATCTGAAAAAACTATTATAATAATAGATAGATCTAAGAAATCTGATTCAAATTATGCATTATATAAAGCATCTATCAACCTAAAAAAAGATTTATAAAGTAAAATATATAAAGAAAAATTTCAGCAATAAAAAGGCAAAATTAAGAAAAATTTTGACTTAAATAATCTGATCTAACTAATTTGAAGTAATGATTATTAAAAATGATCATTTATATTTTCAATTAAAAATATATTATAATAGATAATTAATATATTATAAAAATAAAAGTTACCTTAAAGAAATAGATACAATTAATTAGTTAGGATTACATTCATCTTTTTAATTTTAGAACTTGAAAAAGATAAAGAACTTCTGCTATTATTAAAATCAGAAAAGGAGCTATTCCTTACAAAGTTAATATTCAAGTTATCAAAATCTAATAATCTATTATCATTAAAAACAAAAAGGAACTATTTATTGCAAAAATGATATTTAAGTTATTAGAATTTGATAATAAATATAATATATTTAATTTTTTTATTTTTTTTTTATTAAATAACATACTATATATTCTATGATCTTTTTCACTTTATAAACATTACAAATTTTATGAAAATTATATTTAGAGAGAAAAAATAAGTCTTGATATATTTAGAAGATCTAATGAGTTTTTAGAATACTAGTTTATTCTAAAATATATAAGTTAAAACTTATTTTAGATTTTTTAGTGAAAAGATTAAATAGTTATAAAGTACTGCTCAAAAGTAAAGTTTAACATTTTTGTATTAGATAATCTAAGACATTATATACTTTTTTTATAATCAACTCAGAAAAGAAGATTTATATATGAAGAATAAATCTAATAATATACAGTTAACTCTTGTTATAACGAATTTTATGTCCTAGACTTCAACTTCGCTATAAGGTTATAGTAAAGATTTTAAGAGATTTAATTGACTAATTCACTATTACAAGTGTATTTTTATTATATTTGTTCAAAAAATTCGTTATATCAAGAGTTAACTGTAAAGGTAAAATTAAGAAAAAATCTAATTTGAATAGTGATTATATAAAAAATACATATAGTTAATTTATTAAAACAGCTTTCACTAGATTTATTACTATTTATTTTAAAGAATTTTTTTAACTTAGATCTAAAAAATTTTTGTAATATAAATGATATAGATAGAGTTTTAAATGAGTCAAGTTGAGTCAAGTTTAAAGATCAACTCTATTCAACTTATTTTTTTCAAGTCAAGTCAAGTCAAATTTATTTTATAAAATCTTTTAACTTGACTTGATTTGAGTTATATA